CTTGGAGCAACCTGCTCCAGTGGAAGGTGTCCCTGCCCGTGGCAGGGGTTGGAGCTGGATGAGCTTTAAGGGCCCTTCAACCCAAACCGGTCTGGGATTCTGGGATTCTATAATGTGGTAAAAGCAGGAGCGGGTTGTGAGCTCTCGCTGCTGCTCCTGCGTGCTGCAGCATTGGGTGAAATGGATGTGGAAAATGTGGGGTCCTCCAGCAGACCCCCAGGTCCAGCTGAGGTTGGACACAAAGAGATGCCTGGGCAATTCCCTTGGGACAGGGGGCCATGGAGGCAGAGCCAGGAGAGGGGCCTAATCCACCACTCATGGACGTCTGAGCCCTTTGCACCACTCCCGTGGGGGCTTCATCCTCACCCCATAAGAAGTGATGGGGAGAGGGATAAACCCAACCAGAGCCACAGCACTGTGCAGGATCTGACCTGGCACCAGGAGGGAAGGATCAGTCCCTTCGCCACACTTCCAAGCAGACAGTGGGATGTTTTGATAGGGATGTTTTTCCCCTCCATATCTTCCCTTTCTTCCACCGTAAACAAAAGGAAGGTCTCTCCCAGACCAGCACAAGCGATAGCGCGCACCCACAAAGAGATGGGAAGATGTCAAGCTTTAAACATTTATTACTTGATGATCCATTTTATAGCATACAGTGGGTCTGGATGTTCTATAAACAAAGACTGAATTGCCACAAAGAATTATTAGCTCCCTTGTTGTAACAGTCTCTGGAATCTGAAAACAACGACGTTGTGTTTTCTCTAGTATGAATACCTAGCCTTTATTCTCCCCAAAACATTTTTCCTTTCTTTTTTATCTTTTTATTTTTTTAAAAGCGCTCAGTTTAACAAATATGATTAAATTAAAAACGTTGCTTTTTCAAATGCAAATAAATACATTTTAAAAAAAAATAATAATGAACTGCTAGCGTTAACTCCGTGTTCTGCAGGACACCGCAGCTCCCCTGGCTATCCACAGTGGACTTTGCAACCCTTAGTGTTGTTCCTCCTGAAAAAATACTGAAAGTATCACTGGGACTGGCTAATAGCTAACACCAAGAAGAGCAAAATTAGTGTAAAGCCATAATATACCCAGCGGAGAAATAAAGTAAAATAAAATCATATTTAAGATTTTGGGAGACTTCCAAGTGAGGGATGTTATAAAAATAAGCATGAAAATAAATCGTAAGTTATTCTGACAAGTTTTCCTTCAAAGCCATCAATCATGACAAGAATAGATACTAATTAATCTCCGTCAGGGGAAGAGAGGAACCAAGTGAATTGCTTACTTTTCCTTTTTTTTTCCCCCCATTTTCATTTCACCTCCATATACATGAGACTTCTCCAAGCATGGGTGAAATCCCTCATGGGAGAGAACGGAGCAAGTCACTTTGTGGGTAGCAAAAACCTTCAGTTTGGAAATGATTTCACTGGGAATGAGGTGAATTAGATGCTGGGGAGTCTGGCAAGGAGCTGGCAAAGCTGCTCTGCATCCGAGGGGGACCAGCACAGCGGTGGTCCAGAGCATCGCTCCTCTACAGATGCTTCAGACACTCACGTTTACACTAGCCCGAGGTTTGGCCCCACACACATTTGGCCTGAGGAGGTTATTTTCCCCTTTGCTGATGTAGCCATATGGGGACAACATATTAAATCCCCACATGGACACTTCCATTGAGCAGTGAAGATCAAACCTGGCTAATTCAGGGAGATAATAGCCAGTCGCTCTGCACCTTTACAACCTGGTCTTAGTGGAAGGTGTCCCTGCCCACGGCAGGGGGGTGGAACTTTAAGGTCCCTTCCTACCCAAACCAGCCTGGGATTCTATGAAACACACTCTTTGGCGACTGTTTCTGAAGAAAGCCAGAAAAAGAGAGAAGAAAATACTCAATGTCATCCCCAGGTACACTCATCAGGAACCCCAAAAACTTCCCAGCACTGCTCCCCATCCTGCCCCACCAAATGAAGTCGTGGCACCTCTTTTCCCAACATGGTTCTGTGGTTAATGATGCCACGTGCCTGCCAGCTCCCTCCTGATGGACTTCAGCAAGATAACATTGGCAGCACATAATTTTGGGGAAAAAACCTCAACATTTTGGTCAACATTTTGATTCTCACACATCAACGGAGTGACCGATGTACCAAAGCAGTTAATGGCTGCATGAGTGTACATTAATAGCAGAGATAAATGGCAAGACATTAGAAAACAGCTCATTTCACATAGAAGTTCTTCAGTGGGAGAAATCCCAGTGTTGGAGGGGAAAGCCTTGGGGCAAGCCTGTTTATTGGGGGTTGCAAGACTGCACCCCAATGTCTTGGGAAAAGTGAATAAACCTTCACAGCTGGTAGGAGTAGGGTAATGCTTAAGCAGAAATACAGCCATGTGGTTTACACTTTGCGGCTGAGTGCCTCCTGCTGCACTGATGGGTGAAAATCCAGGTTTTTCAAAACAAAATCCCCAATTCTCTGGGAAAGAGATAGTGGCAGGGACCAGAGCAGTGATCTGGATCGCTGTCAGGAGGATCCCTGGCACCCCAACCCATCAGGCTGTCCCCTGTTATAGGGATTTTCTGTTCTTTAAAAACAACAAGAAGACAGAAGTGGTTTTCAGGTCTTCTCCCAGAAGACCGATGCTGTGCCTGGGTGCGCTGCGATGGGTGTTATATCCCCTTCACATCTGCTCCCTGAGAAATCAAGGAGCAGGAAAAGCCAAGAGCAATGGGAGCAACCCTGAGCCTTGTAATACTGACGGGCTTTGCTGCCTTAATCAGCCGCTCATTAACACTATCAAACCCCATTGCTAATAACAAAGTTGACCCAACGCAAGGCGCCATCACTACGTGAAGGTCCCAGGCTTGAATCCATGAAGCAGGAATCAGTTTTTCCAGACAGTTCCAGGGCATCCAGCAGTCACTTTGCTGCATTCTGGGTAGACAGGAGAACCGAATCTCCTGTTTCCAGCTCGCTCCTCTTGCTCCATATGCGGATTTCAAACCGCATCTGCAGACAAACAGATGAATATTCAAATAATATTGAACTGCAGCAGCAGGTCTCTTGCCTCCTGCAATGTTTTGTCTGCTGGAAATTTCTGCCCTTTAAATGTTGCAGCGAAAGCTTCCTCCCCATCACAGACAGACCAACACATTCATAAGGCACCCGAGAACATACTGCACATCCAGAGAGGTCGGGGTGAAATCTCTCTTCTCTACAAACCATCAGGAATTCAACATCTTGCTTGAAAAAACGGGTTTGAGCTGCTGAGTTCAGACCCAGGCTGCCTGGTCCAGGGTCCATGTGTGCTGGCGCTGTGGCGTAAATTCTCTTCTTAATACCAAGAAAGGAAAGGGAAGTAAATAGTAAGAAGAAAACAGGATGGGCTGCCGGCATCGTGTCTTCTCCGGCTCCTGTTCCACTGCGCAGATGGGATGGTGCAGCTTGCATCCCCATTAAGCTTCACCAAAATAAGCACCTGAAGTGATTTGGTAAGTCAAAACATTACTAGACAAGCAAACATGGAGACCACCAAGTCTTGTTCATGGTTCGGGGTGCTATGCAACCGTGTGGTGTTCCTCCCTACCAGCCTCCTCGCCCTCTGGGCATTTCCCCGCCAAGGCAGCATCTCTCCATCACCCCCTGCAGCCTCCCTCCCTCTCAGGATGCTCCAGGATGGAGCAACACAGGGATCCCAGAGCAAACTCTCCCTCTCCAAATACATCACCCAACCCTCCATGACACGGTGCCCCTTACACCCAACACAGGACAGAGCCACTCCTGTACACCACACACCTAGAAACACTGGATAGCAAATTCAGCTAGTTAGAAGCCAAGCTCAAAACCTCTATTTTTGACTTTCCCTATGCTTTCCTCTTCCTTTTTTTCCCTCCTTTTTGCCATACGCTGCTTGTCTTCTCTATACAGCCTCCAAAGAACATCAAACCTTCATTTCTCCCTCGCCCTGTACATTATTAGGCCCGACCAGCCTACTATAACAGGCCTGGATTTAAATGTATAATTACAACCATAACAGTAATTACAATAAAGCACTCCTTCAATGGAAACAAAAAAAGTTACTACAAAAAAAAAAGAAGGGTTATAGTGGCTGAGGGATAACGGCGACTTGAGCAGCAAAAGCCGCAGAATCCCCTGTGTCCCAGAGCTCACAGCTCAGGGAGTATGTTTCTCAATCCATGGAGGAGGTTACTGGCAAGATGACGGTGGCTACGTTACTTCTGCAGTGGCTTTTTGACCCCTTTAAAACACTCCTTCTGCTTCAGCATCTTCAGGTAACCCATCATTCAGCTCATGGGAAGGAGCTGCCTTCCTTACCCCCAAGCTGCTCGCAACTGTCCGTGTGACGATACAGGGAAGGAAGAAGAAAACACAAACACTCGAGAGAAAGAAAACCCAGTGCAAATTAGAAAGTCATCCTGCTCTCTGATCCACTTTTGAAGGGGTGGCGAGTGGAGGGGACACACACACACACACACACACAGAAAGTCAAAGACAAGAGGAGGGGGGAGAGAAAACCTAACGCAAGCCCCACTCGACAAAAGCCATCAATTATGAGCGTCTGGTGTAGTGTGTGTCTGGCTTTGTCCTCCCGAGACATCTGCTGCCTGCTGTCTCCTGCCAGTTGGCGGGGCAAGGCAGGAGGACGGCATGAAAACAATACTAGCCCCCACTTGGATTCATTTTTTCCCTTCAAATTCTCTGTCTTCTTTCGAAAGCCAAACAATAACCCGGCGGGATGCGCTGCTGCTGCTTGAGCAATGAGTTCAGGAAAAGAAACCCCTAAAACAAAACCACGGCGGGGAAGAGGGGTGGCACTTGGCGACGTGGCCGAAAAAGAAACATGCTTCTCCCTCCCCACCCCACGAACGTATTCTCGAGCATGCTGGGGTTTGGTCTGCTGGGGGATTTAAATCGGAAAAGCTCTTGCCGCATCCCGTCGAGGCGCATGTCTTCTTCTCGTCCCTTCCCACCCCACCTTGCCCTCTCCCCTCAAGCCGTCAGTTTTTGGATGGTCTTGTTGTAGTACTGTGTGATGGTGGGCGTCAGGGGGTTCCAGTTGTTGGCGTGCAGCTCGATGACCTCCAGCAGCAGGGACCGGGTCAGCATGGACTCGGAGGGACACAGCATCTTGTCGCGAGCTATCGCCAACAGCTCCGTCATCATCTCGGGCAGCTGCTCCTCCAGCAGACGGCCGCTGCTCTGCAGCTGTCAGGAGAAGAAGGGGTCAACCACGGCATAGAGATCCTTAGGGGTCCCTTCCACATTGAGATGTTCTATGACTCTAGCATTCTATGGTATTAAAACACCCCACCGGCTTCTACAGGCGCCCTCCATCCCTCCGGTTCTCCCCTGCTTGGCGTGGCGGGGCGAACAAGCAAGGTTAAAGGCATTGTGGCTTTTGAAAACCAAAACCACCCGTCAGCAGGCTCCAAGAGCTGAAGATGAAGGGTGAGGTTTTCAAAAGCATCCTTGCCGGGCTGCTGGAGCAGCGAATGGTTCAGCTCCCACTGACTTCAAAGGCAGCAACACGGGATTACTTCTGGAAAAAAAAATCCCACCTAAAAATCATGCTATTGTCAAAACAAAGTGCAGGCTGTGATGTGGTATTCCTGCCTTTTACCTGGCCCTTCATTTACACGCTGATTCACAGCTGTCAGTGACTCCCAGTCATTAATCTGAATAAGCAGAGCCCTCCTGTATGCATAACAAATCCTGCCCTGCGAGATCTGCATTTATACCCGTCGTGCTGCTTCTCTGAGGGCTTTTAAAACCAATTACTCCTTGGAGAGTCTCCATGGAGCAGCACAAGTCCTAGGTGGTCCCACAGAGGAGAAGATCCAAGCTTGGAGTGGACAGCAATGAGCACACCATCACAGAGGGCTGGTCGGGGCTTGAACGCAGAGCTCCCCAAAGTGCTAACATTAAAAAATCAAAGTCTCCTCCTCGGTTGCCTATTGCTTTGCTGAATTTCAACCATTCAGGCTGCAATTTAACCACTCTCTGCTAGGAAAGCATCCATCCCCATGGACCAATTGCTTCCCAAAAGTAAAACTAATGAATCTCAGCTATATTTGTACCAGCATTTCTCTGCAAAGCTGCTGCTGAGCACAGCAAACCTCTCCATGTGACCAGGTTTTCCTCCATTACAAGTGGTTTTGTGCTTAAAAAAATAAATGGGGGGGTGAGATTTGAAGGAACAAGGATGATGCAATTTGGTGATGGGACCCCAGCTACCAAACTCTTTTGCATCCATTTACATGCATCAAAAGTCCAGTGACAGAGTCTCAAGGGCCTTTCTTATCTCATGGTGATATCTCTTTATCTGCTCTGAGACCCTCCCCTGCAGTCCTGCATCCAGCTCTGGAGCCCTCAGCACAGGATAGACATGGAGCTGCTGGAGTGGGTCCAGAGGAGACCATGGAGCTGCTGCGAGGGCTGGAGCAGCTCTGCTCTGGAGCCAGGCTGAGAGAGCTGGGCTGGGGCAGCTGGAGAAGGCTCCAGGGAGACCTTATTGTGGCTTTTCAATACTTAAAGGAGGCTTAGAAGAAAGATGGGGACAGAGTTTTCAGTAGGGCCTGTAGAGATAAGAAAAGGGGTGATGGTTTTAAACTAAAGGAGGGGAGGTTCAGACTAGATAGAATGAAGAAATGTTTAACAATGAGGGTGCTGAGGCGCTGGCACAGGGTGCCCAGAGAAGCTGTGGCTGCCCCATCCCTGGGAGTGGTCA